TGACCTCTTAGTTAGCCAAGTGCCTTAACCACAGCACCACCAGAGCTCCTTGTCTTCCTTTAAGTTACCTGGCAAAGCAAAGGCCTGTGCCAGGTACCAGCTGGTTCTTGGCAGTAATAATATTGCTAATAATAGTTAGCATTTATTGGATGCTTTCTTTTTGCCAGGCATTGTACTGTACATCAGGGGTTGCAAACTCAGATATGTAGACGGGCAGGACAAGTGAGGTGCCTGAGTGAGGTGAGCCAGGACAGGGGTGTGGTGGCCTGGAGGGCCAAGGCTCTGGCCAGATGGAGCACAGTGTCTTCTTAGCACCATAATGGCCTGGACCATATTGCCAGATACTTGAATTTTTCCACAGTAGTTCCCAATTTCAAAATCTTAAAACTAATTCATAAAGAAGAAAACAATACTGTGTGAGACAAATAAAAAGTCACATTGTTTGGGCCAGTTTGTAACTTCTGCTGTGTTTTGTTTTTCCGTTTAACCTTTATGTCATCCTGCAAAAGGAGTACTATTCCTTGTTCTGCAAATGAGGCAAGCAAAGCTCTTGGGGAGGGTAAGTGACTTACCCAAGGCCACATAGCCAGGAAGCCACAGAGGTGGGGTCAGCCTGTCTCCAAAGGCTTGCTCCTTGCACAGTGAAAGACTGCCACTCTGATGGGAAAGAGGCTTGTGTTCAGACACAACCAGAGTTGGCATGGTGACAGAACATCTCTCCGGGGACGGTAAAATGTTGTTCAAGCAGAGAATTCAGTGTCGTGGTGAGAGAGCATTCGAGAAGACCAAGAAGTTGCAGAGACAAAACTGCCTACCTCCCTCTGCCGGAGCCCAACAATGGACGTCTCTGTGCCCAGAGTGAAGTCACCATAGAATCATTTCTCCCAATTATGCACTCCTTAGAATGATGAGATGTTCATATTTGGAAGGTTTGTTTTTTTTCCCCCTCGAGCTAAAAGTGTGTTTTGAGGGCTATAGTGTATGTGTCACTGCTCAAACTTCTTAAAGAGTGTATTATGCAGGCACACATTCTGATTCTCCCTGGACCGTGACCTCCAGGTGTCCACGATGGCTCTGTTGTGCGTCCAGCTATCCCCCAGGATGTAGCATAATGTCTGACACATAGTGAGTATGGAATGAATATCTGTGGGATGAATGAGTGAGGCTCAGAGGAACTGAATTGACTTGTCTAAGGTCACACAGACCAAGATTCCCACTGACATCCACCTGATTTAGAAACGCCTTGCCATCACCTCTGCACCATCCCGCCTCTTGAAAAGAACCAAGGGAAGGTTGTCTCCAGGCAGAGAATCTTGGGTTCAAGAGCATGCACCCCTCTGGACTCCTCTAGAGTGAAGGATTGCTGGAGGTAGGGGTGGGGGTAAGCATCTACTAACGAAACCACTACAACTGTCCCAGCAAGTGGATTCTGACTCATGGCAACCCATGTGTTACAGACTAGATCTGCTCCATGGAATCTTTACAGAAGTGGGTAACCAGGCCTTTCTTCCACAGTACTGCTGAGTGGGTGCAAACCACCAACCTATAGATTAGTGAGTGCAAACTATTTGTGCTGTCCAGGGACCTAATCAAGACATTATCCACCATAATACCTTTTAGCAGGTGCACATCACAATCTTGCCAGCCCTGAGCCTGGCTCTCTGGGTATTTTCAGAGGGCAGCAGGGTATGAAGGGCAGACCCTGGGATTTGCAGTGAAACAGGCTTCGTTCCCATCTCAGTTCTGCTGTGACTGTGAACTGTGACTGCCTCTCTCTAAGCCTCCTTCCTTCTGCACAGTGTGGATAAAGATGCTTCACTTACAGGATTAGTGGGTTGAAAGGAGATCATAATGGATATGTCTGCCCAGTAATCATGGATTTCTTGGAAGCCTACCAGCCTGAGGTGAACGGTTGACATTGGGAAGCCTTATTGGGATCCACCAGACTCAAGGCCAAGTGGCCTCATCTGTCAGGCCTTTTCTTCTTTCAAGAGGGTATTAATAGATAGAGAAGGCCTTATCTCTTCTTTGATTTCGCACGGGGAAATCTGGCCTTCGCTTGGCCTCTTCTACCCAACCTTGGGCAGGAAGATTACAGTGGGAAAGAAGGCACCTACTTCTTCTGTTTTTTTTTTTTACTTTTATTTGGTAAAAACATACATAACAAGACATTCGCCAACATAACAACTTCCCTGTTTACAGCTCAGGGACATTGATGACATTTTTATGTTGTGTCACCATTATTGCTATCCTTTTCCAAAATATTCCACCATCATTAGCATAAACTCAATGCCTCACAAACAAAAGCTTCCCTTTCCCCCCTCCCTCTTACCTCTGATAACCACTAATAATCTGGTGTGTGTGTATATATATATATATATATATATATAGGAGCTCTGGTAGCATAGTGGCTAAGGCACTTGACTGCTAACCAGAAGACTGGCTGTTCAAACCCACCAGCCACTCCCCGGAAGGAAGATGGGACAATCTACTTCCGTAGTGATACTGCCTTGGAAACCCAAGGAGGGGTCACTATGGGTCGGGTCTGACTCAATGGTACATAACAACATATATATATGTTATATATATATATACTTTTTTTTTTAACTTATCTAGGAATTTAGCCTCCTGTCCCCTACCCTCCCACATCCCTAGTAACCAAGAAAGAACATTTCCTTCCATGTATAAACTTTTCCCTGACTTTTTAAAATAGTGGACTAATACATTATTTGTCCTTCTGTGATTGACTTATTTCACTCAGCATAATGTCCTCCAAGTTCATCCATGTTATACGGTGTTTTGCAGATTCTACATTATTCTTTAGGGTTGCATAGTGTTCCATTATGTATATGTACCACAGTTTGTTTATCTGTTCAGAAGGCACCTACTTCTACCTGGGAGGTTGTGTATTTGAACACCTGGATAGAGGTAGTACCTTTGGGAGGCGGACAGGACATTGGAAAAAACCCTGGCCTTGGCCTCACTGAGCCTGCATAAAGTCTTTTCACCTATGGGCATCGGTTTTCTCATAATAAAATGGGACAATACTAACAATATCTGCCTTCCCTTTCCATCAGCCAGCATGATGCTTGGCACATGATAGGTGCTCAGTAAGTTTGTTGACTGACTATTGGGTCTGAGTGGACTTTACAAAAGTGAGTTATTAATACTGTTATTGGGATCTTTGGGGAAGTTGCGGGGAAAGGAAACTTTCCGCCAGGAAGGAGAATGTTGCTGGCTCTTCTCACTTCCTGTCAGGGCCTGGGTTGGTGATTTAAGAGAACTGCCCCTCAGGTTCTCTGTCTTGGGGGAAAGGAGAACAGGCAGACCCCAGGACTGGGAATCCAGAGTATGCCCAATTCTATCCCTGGCTGGCTTCACAAGACCCTGCCCCTGAGAGCCTCAGTTTTCCCACCTCTGTGGTCTCTTCCAGCTCTGACACATTCTAGGATTTTTGATGAGTCATTTCACAAACTGCTCATTAGAGGAGGGAAGACACTTCCTGCTGCTTTCCTAAACCACCTCAGTTTAGAAAACACTTTCAGATCTTTGGGGTTTCATCCTTCTAGTGACCCTAGAAGGAGCTGTAGCAAGGTCTATGTGCCCATTTTACAGATGAGGAAACCAAGGCCAGGAAATTTCCTCAAAGGGCTGTAATTTGAGCATGCATCACATATTTTAGTTACACGGTTATACTAAGTTGTTCTCAAATATTAGCATGCATAATAATTCTCTGGAAAGGGGTAGGTGTGAGTTCTTGGTCAAACAGATCCCTAGGCACCTGGCAAGTTTGAATTGGCAGGGTTGCAGTGGGCCCCCTGCCGTTAACAGGGCCCCCAAGTGGTTCTGAAGCCTAAGGACCACTCTTGGAGAACCAGGAGGTTCGTGCATTCTGGAAGCCTCCAGGGTCTGTTCCTTTCACGGTCCTCAGCGGCTGCTATGGGCTAGGCCAGAGTGGGAAAGGAGCATTGTTGAGCTTCCAGGCTGGTAGGGGAGGCAGATAGAGTAACTGTGTGGTATAGTCAAGTGCTGGAATGAAGGCAGCCACCAGCATAGAGGAAGTAACTGCAACTCTGGAAGGCTCCCTGTAGGAAGTGATGTTTTAGACTAAGTTGAGGGATCTAGGTTATGTCCTAGCTACTTTTTTTTCTCTTGTGAGTCATCCCATCAGAAAGCAGGCACGTTTGTAGCTATCGTCAGGTGTTTCACATTTCTATCCTCAGTACTGTCACAAGACCTGGTACAGAGGAGAGGGCAATATTGGTCAAATCGACTGAGCTGAGCAATGAGAAAAGGTTGGTGGATATGTGCCGGGGTCTCAGGATTAAATAATTTTCATGCCCAGTTCTCCCACTTTCTTCCTTTGGTGAGGTCTAAGGTAGAGTTTGCCTCCCACACGGAAGACTAGGGTTTGATTCTCAGCCAATGCACTTCATGGGCGGCAACCAACCTGTTGGTGGAGAATTGCAAGTTACTATCTGCTGAACAGGAACTCTGGTAGCATAGTGCCTAAGTCACTTGACTGCTAACCAGAAGGCTGGCGGTTCAAACGAACCAGCCACTCCTTGGAAGGAAGATGGGGCAATCTACTTCTGTAGTGATACTGCCTTGCAACCCAAGGAGGAGTTGCTATGAGTGGGGTCCAATTCCATGGCACATAACAACAACAACAACATTCAGAACAGATTTCAGTAGAGCTTCTAGAGTAACACTTTCTAGGAAGAAAGGCCTGGAAATCTTCTGAAAATCAGCCAGTGACCCCCCCATGGGGTACAACAGTCTGATCCCCAACAGATCAAGTGGTTGACGCAGAATCTGGAAATCTCCTGACTCAATAGTAGCTAACAACAGTTAACAGTGGAATTACTTTAATGGTGGAAATTCCTAATCATCTAGTAAACATTTGTTACCTCTCTGTTCTCCTCCTTCAGAGTCAAGGTCTGAATTAGTTCAGATGGACACAGAGCATGCTTTCAAATGTTTGTTGAATAAGTAAATGAATGAACGAGTTCAAGGAGAAACTGTGCGTCGGCTGTTTGAAGGGATTCCAGCTAAGGGCCGCCGAAGAAGCCCCAGGAAAGCCCCAGACCTTCATGAGGCCAGATATCCCTCCCCATTTCCTGTCAGCCCCCTTTCGCTTGGGATCTGACTGGGTGAGAGGGACGACAGAAGGGCAGGATTTGAGACTAAATGGCATAGGTGGGGCAAGTTGTGGGTCAGAGATGTGGTTGGGGCTCAGAGGGTTGGCCTGAAGATCCAGAAAGAAGGACAGTTTATGGAGGCTGGGCTGAGAGGGTCCAGAGGTCATGTGGGGGCTGCATACGGATAGATGCGTGGCAGCTTTAGAATGGAGACTGCCCTAAATGTCTTTATTTCCGAGGGGTAGACAAGACGGGGTGTGTTGGGGAGGAGGCGGGGCTATCAAGCCTCGGGCAGGGGCAGTAGGGCCTGGGGGCGGGGAATGTGAACGCGCCTGGCACCGCCCCGACAAAGCCTGCGCGCGCCCCGTTCTGCGATTGGCTGCGCCGCACCGTGCCGCCTCCCCGTCCCGCCCCCCGCCGCCGGTCCGGCGCACCACAGCCAATGGATGCCGTCGCCGCCGCTTTCGTCATATCCCAGGCAGCCAATAGTGGCGGTGTTCTGCGGCTCGTGGCTATTTCGCGGCAAAAAGGATTTGGCGCGTAAAAGTGGCCGGGACTTTGCAGGCAGCGGCGGCCGGGGGCGGAGCGGGATCCGGAGCGGGATCGAGCCCTCGCCGCGGCCCGCTGCCATG